TGTCATATCTCGAAAGGAATTGGACTTAATAAAATTTTTTACTTTTGTTATTAACATGGTAAAAGATTTTACTTGTTATTAACATTTACAATTTTTTATGAAATTTGTCTCTCTTGTCAAAATTGATCTTTTTGCCATTTTATAATCATTAATAATATAAGTTTTTATTATAAAAAACTTTTTATAACGGATTGTGCCATTAAACTCATTGCTGAATGTTTTTCAAATGGCATCTTTAGGTTAGAAGAAATGTAAATAGAATTTAATGCATATTCTAAAAATAGAACACAACTACAAATTTAAAAATTGAAACTGTTATGAATGTGTTCATGCATAGTGCAGAAGTAACTTAATGGATGATGAACAAAGCAGTAACAATAATAAATGAATTACACTTCATGCCTACATTTAACTATGAAAATAAATACACTTCAGTGTTGTGGCATTATTGTTTGCAACTATTTAGAGCACAGGTTCTCAAACTTATTTTGACCACTGCCCACTTTGAGATTAAAAAAAAATCTAGTGCCCCATATTTTTTAAATTACCTTTTTTACATTACCATCTGTTGTGAATCTTAAAAACAGTTATTGCAAATATAATGTTTAGACATGCATTATTATATGTAGACATTCACAGCTACGAAATAAGTTTTGATTATAATCCCGAAACAAACAGATACTTTCAGAGGATAGTGTAAACGGATGACTCTAAGCAAGAGTGCAGAGTAGGAGCTCGTGTGTGCATTAAAAACAACAACAATAAGACAATATATCAGGCCAGATTAAAACTTGCTAAACATTGTAGCATTACGCAAACTGAACTATGGGCCATGTACAAAGCAATCACCCAAATAAAAGATAACTTAAATAAATAAATACAAAGGTAATATAAAATTCCTTATTGACAGTAAGTGGTTCTTTATGTCTTGGCAAAAACTGAAAACATCATGCTACTGGGCAAAGAAGTTATTAAAATAGCACAATATCTTACTACTGGCAATATCCAATTCAGTTGGATACCAGCTCTTAAAGGACATAAAGGAAATGAACTGGCCGATTCTTTGGCAAAAATGGCTGGTACTCTCAAGACGCAGGATACATATACCAGGTTACCAAAATCAACACTGAAAAATTCCTTGAACAAATGAGCACTAACTGAATGGCAGGAAGATTGGAATAATTCTACGACAGGGAGACTTTGCCACCAGTTTATTCCCTCTATTATTAATCGCATCAAGGCTAATTACTACAAATTTAGATCCTAAACCACCCAATGTTTAATGGGGCACGGCAATTTTATGGTCTACCGCCATCGCTTTAAGAAGAGAAACACTAATAAATGCTGGTGCAACAATAATAGTGTAGGAGATGTCATACATTTTATATTCCACTGTGAATGATGTGAAGATCAACATATTCCATTCTATAGAGAATGCATTCAAGAAGGTCATAATTGGCCACTGACACTACAAAACATTTTTGATAAGAAAAATCTCTGGAAGTGTTTTGAAAGGTTTATTGAAAACACCAGGACTCTTCTGTCAGACTTCTACAGGAAAGAAAAAATTCTTGAGAATGAAAACAAGAACAGACAAGATGACCAGGTAGACATTGAAAGAACAGAAAAGTGACGTTATCAGCGATTGTTTGATTTGCCATGTAGAATTCTTCTGTATGTAGTTTAGTTGTCTAATATTAGTTTAGTTTTAGGTTCTAGATTTCAAATCAGTAGTTTTATATCATAGTTCATAATAAGCTGATATTTACATTCTCTGCATATTAAACTTGTAACCAGTTCTTACTATTATTGTAACATTTCAGTGTTCAAGGTTATTTTATACCTACCCATATGTGATAGGTTTTTCATTTTACTGTAACTGGACCATTTCTTGTAATTGTTAATACAGTAGAGCCTCAAAAACTCGGCCTAATGTGGACCGAAGGGTGGCCGAGTTTGTGAAAATGCCGGGTTATCGGGAATGGGGTTAAAAAAATAATTATGAGTGTTTCCTCAGAAAATACTGTACTGTATTTGTATGTATTGTTTACTTGAGAATACAACAGAGAATAAACTGCCCAAATACCCTTAAACAAAGGAAAAGTACATCCTTTATGAAGGCATAGAGCCTTTACTACATGAAAATGAAAATTAATGAATACACTGTACAGTAATTTACCTGATAAGACAGACCTCAGAGAAATACTTTATGAGGCATAAAGCTGTCTTTATCATGAAAATTAATTAACTAAGGATTTTTTTGCCCTGCCAGGGTGTAGCCGAGTTATCCGGAGTGCCGAGTTTTCGAGGTTTTACTGTATTGTATAACGGTCTTGTCAACTTTTGTAATTTTGGTTATTAATAATTTCTGATGCAGTGCTCTGAGGTCCTAAGAACTTTTTCACCCTTACTTTTTTTTCTTCTCTTCCTTACAGGTGTAATATGGTAATTTTTTTTCACCCTTTCCCCTTTTTCTTTATACTTCTCCCTTCAGAACACTTCCTTCAACCTTTTCTCCACCCCTTTCTCTTCCTAGTGGGCTAAGTTTGCAAAAGCAGGCAGCTCCTCCTCCTCCTTTATTATTATTATGTTGGGTTTAGTGGGTTATACTCGGTACACACCGGTGGCTGTGTACTATGCCGGACCTGAGTCAAGGCATAGCAACCAAAACAAAACTAAAATTAAATAAGTGTGTATTCAGGAATTTCCTAACAATATGGCATGTATTCAATATAGTGGCCTTCTGTAGCGTGATGTATGTATTTCTACTCAATTGTAATGTTCCCAGGCTTTTGTGTAGTGTGTGTGGTATCACACCTGTACAGGAGAGAACGACAGGTACAATAAGCACCCTATCCATCCTCCACAGATGCCTTATTTCCTGGGCGAGTTCTGTGT